GTTGTTACAGCAGCAAGATACAAATGAACTGTGTACCAAGCTACATTTTCACACATTGAATACATTGTTTGCTTCTGCTTGCAAGTTGTTTTATATTTCACACAGATACTGACTCTTCTTTTTGGGTCAGTCTGCTGATAATCTTTAAAAATAAACCCACTAAGAACAAAGTATTATTTATTGTCTGGTTTTTGCTATCTGCTTTAGAAGCAGCTCTCCATGGCAACTTTAAAAGCCAATGCATTAATGCACAGTGACAGATGGGCTGAGCTTTTCCTTGCTCCCTGATAAGAGCACAGTGTGCATCAGGAGCCCCAGCCAGCACCACAGGTGACATGTGGCAGTACAGCAGCCTCTCTGCTGCCCTGCTCCTTCCCTTCATGCCTGCATGACACACAACACACCAAACGACCTGCTGCTTCTAACTGCCCCTGCGCATTCTGGCAAGGTTAGAATCAACAGAAGAAATTGTTCCAGAAGTAAAATCCAGAAGGAAAGCATAGGGTGAGGTCAACATTTGGAAAAGCTTTTGTTGAAATAATTCCATCAACTTTTATCTGAGCAAAACAAGATTTTTCAAAATAAACCTTTTCATGCTCATCAGGGTATGCCTGCATTAGGCCTGTAGCTCCAAACAAACCCATGGGCTGACAACCAGCTCTGCCACACCAGTGCAGAGCAGATTTCACTGCTCTGTCTTTTATTTCTGTTTAGTCTCAAGTGAATCCTTCACATGCCTTTTCAAGTTGATTTACAAGCACCACTATAATGCTGAGCTCTCCTTTCTTATCACTTGCTGCTATTAAAATTAGTGACTGATTTTTAAGTCCTGGATAGCTCAGGTGCAGGATACTTAGGAAACACCCTGCAAGAGCTCATTTCAGTATGCTCCTTCAAAGCCAGGAACAAATCCAACGTTTGTTCTCTTGAGCTCTAAATTATTGTACTTTGCCCTTTTTTATTGGTTTGAGACCTAAAACTTCATTCTGTATGCTCAGAGTGAAACAGAAATTTTGCTATGAGAGAGATGCTCGACAGCAGGGCCAGGCAGGTGTGTGATACCTGCAGAGTACTAGAAGCAGGAGTTTCACTTCCTTGTGGAGTTGTTCTGCTGACTTTTTGCACTGCAGCTGTGGGGGGGATGGCTCAAATATCAGAGCCACAAGGGACTAATTAACCCCACATAAGGTAGCCAGAACTTTCCCACTGGAAGTTTTCTCTAATTTTTTTTTTAACCTTATGAAATGGCTATTCCACTATATTAAAAAGAAAATTTTTTCAATAGTGTAACTTCAGGAACCATTTCAATGCTTTTTTCCCCTCTGGGAGAATTTAAGGGACTGGCATGAATGACAAACTTATCTTGGGCAACTAAGGAAAGCTGCACAAAAAGTGCAGCCTCCTGCCTTGCCCTGTAAGGCTCATGAACACCACATCGTGCAACACCAGTGAGTGCCCTGACCTACGCACGGCCACTTGGGTGAAGCTGGAAAAGGAATGCACTCCTGCCCACACCAGGAAAGTCCTCTCATTTCATAAACTTTGAAACTGGTTTTAATTCATGGGCCAGAGAGCTGAGTCACAGACCTTCTGGTCACTTGGAAGAACCCAGAGGATAAAAGGGCAAAATATAAATGAGCAGAAAAGCGAGTAACTGTAGCCAAGTTTAATATTGAATTAGCTAACTGAAGGAATGGAAAGTTTTGGAGGTGACAACTCTCACACTACTGAAAACAGCACCTGACCTGGCAAGCATGGCACTCCTGAACCTCACAGCCCAAAGGCTGAGTGTGAAAAATTCTGCTGAACAACTGAACTGTTTCTTAAGACTTTTGCAAGAGCTTCATGCACCAAGGAGCTGCACAACAAATCCTGTTAGCTAATGGCCCTAGATAGACGAAATCCAACCCTTGAGGATTTGTGAATGAAGAATCTTGCACAAACACGATATCTTTTTGGCTCCTACAGAGCAGGTAGAATTACCAGGTCTTCCAGCAAGACCTTCCAAAGAACCACGGAGAACAAGGACAGGTGAAAGATGATTTCCTACAGTGGGATACCTTACTTGGCAAAGAAGGGATCAGTTACCTTCTTCTCATATCAGTTGCAGAGTGAATTAACTCAACATGAATGGCAACCAATCTGGTTGCATATCCCTCCAAATCTGGATTCTGATTGAAAGTTGAGTTCCCAGATGATTTCTTGGTTTTAAACCAAAACAACAGTTGGCATTCTGGTTTTCATGGTACACAGACTGCTTTAATAACATCAGTTATCAGCTGCTGTACTAACAACACTGATTTTCTCCTATTATTATACCATACTTGCTTTACCTGAGCTTTCCTGCAGGACATTATTCCAATCACAGATTATTCTGACAACCACCTCCTACCTTTGTTGTTTAAATAGCTCAACATCCTGATGGAATTTTGGGGCCATCAGGATTCTTCCTACAGTGGAGTATCAGACTTTGGCTACAAACCTCACTTCTTATTTCCTCACTCTTTACCTTACTTTACCTTAAAGGAAGTAAGTTGCACTTCAATTACAGTGAAGTAGAATGAACATGAGATGGAAGCTCAGCCAAAGAGGCACTTCACAGCTTGTGGAAGAGTATGGGAAGAAGATGCCTGCACCCGCAGAGAATACAGAGCCATTAGTCAGGCAGTGTAACATGCCCACAGCTGTTCTACTTTGGAATACAGCAGCTTGCATCTTGGTAATGAAATTTAAGGAACCAGTGCCTGGTGTGTTCATTTGAAACCTTTCATATTAGGACAAGGGGATGATGATGCATGAGCATTTCACAGACTGCAAGGTGTTGATAGTCTCTTGTTATATCTTGTCACTGACATACTGCAAGGGGACAGCCACAGACACTCTTGAGATACAAGCCACCCATGACCTCTGGAGAGAGAAATGTTATTGTCAGAAGGATGTCCAGTCTTGGAGATGTGGGGAGGTGCCCATGCCCACAAAGAGCCAGCGCTCACCCAAGTCGAGCTGCAGTGCTGTTCAGTAAATCCAGACCCCAAAGGTGGCACACAACTGCTTCAGAGAGCAGTGAAGTTCACGCAGAGGAAAGTGATGGTGCGACACCCACCCAAAGGCAGGGGGTGCAGAGCCCAGAAGCTCCTCCTGACATCCCCCAGCTGACTGTGTGTGCACAAGGCTTTCACCCAGTGGTCATTGTGCCCAGTCCTGTGACACGGAGCTGAATCAGAGAGCACCTTTCCAGAAAGGGCCTGTCTGCACTGAAAGGGGACAATGACAGAGATTATTGCCAGCACAGCTCCAGGCTGCAGCTGTTAAAGACCTGCCAGTGCCTTTCTGGGGAGATGCAAGGGAAGATTATCCACCAGACAGCATATCTGAAAACATACATTGAACAGTGCCAGCAGTACCACAGCTCAGCCTTTAACCATAACCTTGGATTTGAAATACAAACCTCTCCTCACTCCTCCCTCCCTGCACCATGATTAAGCTTTCAAGCAGTGCTGCAGCAATGCAGGATGCTAAGCCAAGTTTTGGCAGCACACAGCATTCTCAGCAGCAAATGCAGAGAATTACAGGTATGGAAATGTATCAAATTAAAATAACTATGAGTAATGCTTATTCAGAAGAAAAATAAATACACCATACTGTGGGGGAAAATGTTTAAATAGCTGAATTGAATCTTCAGCAAAATTATTTGCTTTGACATGGGTATGTGTTTTAGGCTAGCTAAATAATTTAAGTACTTTCCTTACATTACTTCTCCTTGAAATAAGAGTTTCATGTTTATTATTCATTACTCAGGTGGGGACCTCTGCTTGCTATAAAAGTAAGTGGAACAAGCAGCTGCAGTAAGGTGAGATCTGGGACCCAAACATGGCTCATGAGCTTTTTACTAAAGGCATTTCCCACCCAAGGAACAGGATACAACCTACAACCACTCACGTGGCAGAAGTAAAACACAGTTTCTTCCTCAAACAAGAGTAAACTATTAAAATAAAGTAACCCAAGCTGAGATTCATTTTGTCTATCACCACAGGTACTAGCAAGCTCCTTCTGACCCCACTCAGCACAGCCCTGCCCAGGGAAGGCATTTTCCCTATCATTCCAATGCACACTGTGATGGGAACTGCTGTAATTAAAAGCAGCAAAATTTAACACACATCCCCTCCCTGTGAGCAGTTCCATTAAGTCAACAGCATTACTATCCTCAGGAAGAGTTATGTGATCTGCTCTCTGCCCACCTGCATGAACTACTTCATTTCCCTGTTGCTGAGCCCCACACCTGATCCTGGCCTGTGCCTGACACGTAAAGGTGTTTGGCATCTGATGCATCTCCATGGCTGGAGTGGAGAGCAGAAAGGGCAGGCTGCACTCCAGCCCCAGCCCCATTGGAATCACAAATGGAGCAGGTGATACTTTTGTCTCAGTGCAGCTGATTTAATAAACCTGTCCCAACACCTTATGAAGTGTCGGGTTTAAAACCATTCCTGGAGCTCAGATTTCACCAGCAGAATGCTCAGCATAGTTTTGAGCTGTTTTCTGTGCCCGTCCTACACTGCCAAGACATTTTGTTCAGAGGTCAGAAATGTGGGCATGCTACCACAAAAGTCAGGAAATCATTTACAGAATGCATAAAAATTGCTTTGCAGTGCAGTGACTCAGAGCTGAGAGGACATGACATAATCTCTTTGCTCTATAAACAAATGCAGTTAATGTATAGCCTTTAATACACAATAATCAAACGCAGTCTTGTTTCAAATGAGAAAAGATCCAATCCAGTTTCATTTCTCTACTGATGACAGTGGAATTCAGCAGAAGACAGCAAGTATTTCAGAAAGAATGTATAGTCCCATCATTCATTACTGCATGACAACTACCTCCACCTACCACATTCCTCTTTCCAGGACTAGTGAGATGTTTTGCACACTTCCAGTGGAGGTATTTTGAAGGAGAGCTTTGTTACCCTTTTTTTATTTTTTCCTAAACCCCAGGTCAGTGCTTACCAGCCAGGGCCTTGATGCGGGAGCGCTCAAAGAGCCGAGCAGAACTGTTCTCATTGTCCCAGTCGTCGACATCCCAGCGGTTGTTGACGTCGCTGTACTGCTGTTGGATTTCAATGTTGTCGTAATCTGTCGCTACCGTCGTCGTCATCCTGAGTCTTCTCCTTAGCCTCTCTTCACCATCAGATTCTTCCTAAAACCCTCTGTCAAAGAAAAACACAGAAAAATAAGCAATTAGATGGTGCACATGTACTGGAAGAAAATGGTAAGGGTCAAGCTCAGGAGTTTTGGTTTCAAAAATCAGTGACTTTTACTTAAAAACAAGCTCAAGAACAGGAGATACCAACCACTCCTTCCGAGAACAAATATTCTCAAAAAATTAAATGCTTTACCAAAGCACAGAAGCTTTGCTGCATACACACATCCAGGATGTCACATTCAGCTCCACAAAGCAGAACATGGATGGAATAGTGCAGCAAAAGACTTCCACAACTGTCATTTTTAAAAGCAGACCATTGGCCTTAGAGATCTGCAAGTGTTGGTTAAAGCATATGGAGCTGTGGATAACGCAGCTAAGAAAAACCTCAAGCACAAAGATGACCTCCATACCTTTACAAAATGGTGCAAATAATTGATGGGGGAAAAAAATACAGATTCTAAAAAAGCCACAGAAGCATTTGACAAGCAAAAACCTTTTAACATGTGTCTGAAGAAATATTTCTGTCTCCACATGCAAATACTGACTTTGTGACTGCTCCTGGCAATTTATTTATGAACTAATCCAGATAAAACCAACTAAATGATGCATTACTTTGAACTCTCCACAGGAACAACATGGCACCCACCAACACAACCCTTGGGGTAAGGTTCTCCTCTTTCAGGATGCTGTTTGCATATTTATTCTGTTTTCTGATTAGGATTTCCATGTGTTTATCGGTACTAGATATAAGAGAGGCAGACAGCTCTGGAGGAGGAGGGAGCTTATACACAGCTGTGGGAACAGTGCTGAGAATCCCCTTCACCCTTCAGCGCTCAGCGAGACCCTGAGGAGCACAGGGTGCTCCTCATACACACAGAAACACACACTTCACCTTTGCAAAACGCAATAATTCCCAGAAATGCAGTTAAATACAGGGGCAAGGGGGAGCCAGGGGGCCTGGGCGGGGACGCGCGCTCCCCTCACAACGCCCCGCCCGGGGCTCCTCTTGTCTTTTCTCTCTTTAATCTCACGTTCATATTTTAAAATAAAATTTAAAGAAAGGGGCTCAGGGCGAGGCCGAGCCCGCCCTCACGGCGGGGCCGGGGCTGCCCCTCACGGCCCTCCCCGCCCGCCGCGCTGGCGCCACCTGCCGGCCCGGCCCCTCCCGGCACCCGCATGTCGCGACATCAATCCGCCTCGCCCGCGACAGACGGCCTGGCTGCCCTGGCTCACCAGCAGCGTTCATTCCCCGTCCGGGCCCGGATACCGGAGCCGGCTGATTGGCCCTCGTCCCCAGGCCAGGGCAGGTCTGTCCCGGGGTTCCGCGCGGACAAGTGGCGGTGTGTGGCGCAGGAACGGGAACGAGCCGCGCTGGGGCGGCTGTTACATAAGGAGCTGTTACCGAAGGCTGAGCGCGAGTGCTCAACCTTCCCGAAAGGTGGGAAGGAATCGCTTCAGTCATGGGAAGCTGCCAAGAGAGCGAGGGAACGCGAGGAGAACTGCCTCTGGGGAAGGTCGTGGGGACGGTGCTCCCGCGGCGCATCCCGCAGGAGCCGGGCATGGATCAGCCGCTCCGGCCGGATCCTGCCGCTAGGAACAAACAAAAGCATGGAGCAAAGACGGGGGGAGGATTAAATCCCACTCGCCGCGTTTCTGCACAGCACTCACCAGATGATCCTCACTGAGCATCAGGCCTAGACAAAAACCGCCCATTGATCCCTGTACACAGGCTGCAATCAGGGTTAATTCCAATTAAATCCATGGAGCAGCCAGCATATAAACAACGACTGGGAACAGGCTGGTTGACAGCATAATTTTTCATCTTTTCTATATTCACCAGTGCTCAAGGAAGAGAAGATGTGCCACTGGAAAAGCTGCAGCTCCAACCATAAAAATCAGGGAACCCAAAATCGGGATGCAGTAACATGTAATTTAATATAGATGGAGCAAGCCATGGGATTTAATTTATTTCTGTGTCACTGCTGCTTAGAAACACACACAACCTGATCCAGAATAAATTCAACTCTAACTTGTGCTTTATCACTTCTCCCATCCTGAGCATCACACAAGCAAAATCTATCCCAGATAAAGCTAAATTGAGCATGAAATGGCCTGTTATCCCACACCTATAGGGCCAGAAAACCTGCATCCTTGTTCTGATTCTAATAAAAGCAGCACCTCACTCCCTGACATCAGGCTCCCTTTTCTGGGATGCAGCTCCCCGCCACAGGGACAGCAGAGCAGGAAAAAGCTGCAGGGATAAAAATAAGCACCTTTGCAGCAAAGGAAGGTGAGGAGAACACAGCAGAATCCTGATTCCGGAGACAGACCCAGCAACAGAGAGTGCGGCCACTGCCCTCAGCCTCTGCTGGAAAACAGCTTTTCTTGAGTCCTGCTGCAGCTCTGATCCAGCACAACCCACTGGTGCCTCTGGGAACAGGGAGGGAAGATAAACATGAGTCCTGGCAGAAACCTGCAGGCTCCTGACTGCAGGGATGGAGGTCCTGCAGCTGGGACGAGCTACAGCAGCACATCTTGTGTCTGCGTTAATGGTGTCCCGATCTGACATGAACAGCACCAGCAACTGACCAGGAAGCAATGGGAAAACTGTTTGGGATTTTCCTGGAGCCATTAATGCAGCCGAGTTCACTGTTAATGCCCTTGAATGTAATCCACCTGTGAAATCAGCCCTGCCATTGAAGGACCACGCTGAAAACCCTCTGTGTGTGTGTGCAGCACACACAGACATGTAACGCAGATTTATTTACAGATTTAGTTTAAGCCTCTGCGTGAAGCACATCCACAGAGGGATAACCACGGAGCACAAGGACAGAGGGAAGCCCATTTCCCTGCAGGAACAACCTTTGTCACTTAAACATCCTGGCCTGGCTTTAAGCTGAGATACCCCTCTAATAAAGGAATGACGTTTTCTGCAGAGAGCCAGAATTTCAGCTGCCGACATCCCGAGCAGCATCCTGCAAGCCAACCCACTCTCGGGACTGGATAAACACACTGGGAACAAGGCGTTTCAGCAATGGCAGGTCACAGCTGCTTTACTATGCACAATTCAGACTCACTCCAGGATGACATATAGCGCTTAAAGCCAGAGAAAGCAGGCACTGGGGTTTCTCAGTTAATGCACGCCTTCTTAAACTCATCTGCCAGTGCTGCTGCACCTGGCTTGGAGATCTTAGCAGGCAATTCCAGGGATAAGCAGGCACAGGGGGTGAACTAATAAACAGCACGGAACTGCTCCAGGCCCTGAATCCGCAGGCCTACCACAGAGGGTCGAGAAAAATCTGTAAATTCTCGAACCTCTTCCTCATTGATAAAATATAACTCTGTTGCCTTCTGCCATGGATACCATGCTAGATGACCTCATGAGACAAAAGAGATCAAACCATGTAATTTCAAAGCATTCCTTAAAACCTATTGCATAATCTGAGGGCGGGAAGGAGAGGGGGGTGGTTGGCATTGTCTTCAAAAAGAAAAAATGGCTTGAAGAAAAAAATCAGCTACCAGGAAGAGCATTTTCTCAGGCAGTTTTCAAAGGCCACATCCAGGGGTCAGACCTTTTCTGTTTACTTTCATAAATAGACCAGATTTTGCTCTGTTTGTTTCTCAGATAATAGAAAACAAACAGTTTTATTCAGCCCATCTGAAGAATTAATTAATTTTAAAAAAATTCATTGGCTACTCTTAAATGCAATCATGTAATTCACTAAACAGCTATGACTATGATCCCTGAAATTCTGCCATAACCACACATCTGGAATTACTTCCTAATAGTTACATTTATCTTTAAAGCAAACATTGTTTTTTCAAGAGTTACTATTCTTCCAGGAAACATGCTAAGCTGTAGCTAGATTCATGTTACTCTAACTAAGGATTGTCAAGAGGTTTTTATGGTGCTGTGATTGAAAAAAATATAGTTTGAACAGTAATCCCCAAATGGTCTCATGGGTTATGTAAATACTTTTCCCTGGCTAACACATAGCCCAACCTATTGCAGCTTTCCTGGAATTAAAGATGAATTGTAAATTCATCTCTAACTCCCACTGACTGTGTGACAGGATTGAGAAGGGGACACAGACACTCCCATCTCCAGGTCACCAGAGCACATGGGTCTGGTGACAAGCACGGACACCACCACTGTGACAAGGAGAATGGTGTCCTGATCCCACAGATCAGATCTGTACCTCCAAGAAACCAAAATTGCACACTGCCTCCTTTCTGGTAGCCCTCTGAAACCAAGGCTGGATGAGCATAGGAAGCAATTCCATTATCCTCTTTGCAGGATACTTTTCCTCCCAGATGGTCCTTCCCCACTACTGATGCCTCAGACCATCTCACCAGTCCTGCTCTTCACTTTAGTGCAATGATTATTACTAAAAAGAAGGAAATTTAGATAAAATGTAAAGAAACTTTGCATTTATTCTGAGCAACATTCAGCTCCCTCCAAACATCAGCACAACAGACATTTAATAATTTTTAAATGTCATTTTAAGCCAATATTTAAACTGGAGAATGGAAGTTCCTCTGAACTCTCAGGGTCCAGCCACATCTTGTCACCCCAACAGGGTGAGATTCTCACCCTAAGCTTCCACACAGGGAAAGTGGCCTGGTCAGAGTCAATAGGGGCACCTTGGGAGAGGCTCAGGGCTGGATGCCAAATGGGCATACACATCAAACATCCCCACAGGTCAAACTCTGCAAGTATTTACAAAATACTGTGTAGAAACTCAAGAGTTGTACAGAACCCTCGGATTGAGAAACTCAAGTCCTGAACATAAAGCTTAGAAAGACTGGAAGATGCATGTCCCAATTCCAATTTCTCAGCCTGAAGCCCAAGGAGGTGTTTCCAGGCTCTCTCCCTGCTCAGCCCCTGTGTTGCTGAACTGCAGCACATTTCCAGGGACAGGAGTTCCCCTGTCCTGACAGGGCAGAGAGGGCAGCACACGCACGTTCTGGCTTTTTGTTTCAGCTGCTGAAGCAATCCCAGAA